CTAAGGCAACCAGTTTCTGATTTCTATCATCATAGATTTTTGTTTGGTACTCTAAAAGTTCCAGTAAATTGGATCACATAGTGAATGGGATTTTGAGTCTGTATGCTTTCACTCAACTAAATGTTCATCATGAGGGTGAGTGAGTCAGTTGTTCATTCTATCTTTAGTGGTATTATATGAGTAAACCAAAATCTGTTTATTCGCTTGTTAATGAGCATTGGGCTTGTTTCTAAGTTAGAGTATGATGGCTTTTTATAAACATTCATGCACATTTCTTTTTGCATATTGTATATTTTATATTTATTTTCTTTCTTCTTGGGTAAACATCTAAGAGTGGAATTTCTGGGTGAAAGGGTCATAGTATGTTTAAACTTATAAGGAACTATCAAACCATTCTGCAATGGTTATAAATTTATGAGAATCCCAATTTTTCACATTCTCAGCACCATTTGATTTTTAGTGTTTTTTTATTATAGTCAAATAGTTCTTTGAAGATGAAGGGAATAACCAGAATGAGTGGAGACACTCTTTCATAGGTCTTTCATTTCCTTTTCTCCCAACCTCACAATGTTTATTTACACAATTTCTACCATCTATTTCACCACAATTTATACAGAAGAGAGAGCAGAGGCCATCAAAAGGAATGAAATCTTGCCATTTGCAATGACGTGGATGGAACTGGAGTGTATCATGCTGAGCGAAATAAGTCAATCAGAGAAAGACATGTATCATATGACCTCACTGATATGAGGAATTTTTAATCTCAGGAAACAAACTGAGGGTTGCTGGAGTGGTGGGGGGTGGGAGTGATGGGGTGGCTGGGTGATAGACATTGGGGAGGGTATGTGCTATGGTGAGCGCTGTGAATTGTATAAGACTGTTGAATCACAGACCTGTACCTCTGAAACAAATAATACATTATATGTTAAAAAAAAAAAAGAAGAAGAAGAAGAAATGAAGAAGATAGCAGGAAGGGAAAAATGAAGGGGGGGAATCGGAGGGGGAGATGAACCATGATATACTATGGACTCTGAGAAACAAACTGGGTTCTAGAGGGGAGGGGTGTGGGGGGATGGGTTAGCCTGGTGATGGGTATTTAAGAGGGCACATATTGAATGGAGCACTGGGTGTTATACGCAAACAATGAATCATGGAACACTACATCAAAAACTAATGATGTAATGTATGGTGATTAGCATAACGTAATAATAAAATAATAATAAAAAATAATAGTTTAAAAATAATAATAAAAAAATAAAGGTTTGAAGTTAGAAGAAACTAAAAAATTTTAAAAAAATAAAAGAAAGGAAAAATATTATATATATATGTATATATATATATATATATATATATGGACAGCCTGACCTCAAAGCCCAACTCCACACCTTTGTACCTATAATACCTTGGGAAATTATTTAAGAAGTCTGTTTTTAAGTTTCCTGCTGTCTGTAATGAGGATACCGACACTAATTCAGAGAATGGTCATAAAAATTAAATGAGGTTGGGGTGCCTGGGTGGCTCAGTCGTTAAGCGTCTGCCTTCAGCTCAGGTCATGATCCCAGGGTCCTGGGATCAAGCCCCGCATCGGGCTATCTGCTCAGCAGGAAGCCTGCTTCTCCCTCTCCCACTCCCCCAGCTTGTGTTCCCTCTCTCGCTGTGTCTCTCTTTGTCAAATAAATAAAATCTTAAAAAAAAAAAAATTAAATGAGGTAATATATATAAATTGTCAAACACGTATCTTGCAAATGGTAAACACAAAATATTAGCTACTATTATTGGCCATTTATCATCATCATTGACATTATTATTAAAAGATTATTATAACTGGATTATTTATTTTTTGGGTGTCAAGTTTGATAAGTTCCTTATAGATTTTGGATACAAAACCTTTATCAGATATGTCATTTGCAAATATCTCCTCCCATTCAGAAGGTTGCTTTTTAGTTTTTTGATTGTTTCCTTTGCTGTGCAGAAACTTTTTATTTTGGTGAAGTTCCAATAGTTTTTTGTTTGTTTGTTTGTTTGTTTTGCCTTTTGCTTTTGTTTCCTTTGCCTCAGGAGATGTGTCTAGTAAAAAGTTGCTACAGCTGGAAACACCTGGGTGGATCAGTGGATTAAGCATCTGATTTCGGCTCATGATCTCAGGGTCCTGGGATCGAGCCCCACATCAGGCTCCCTGCTCCTCTCCCTCTGCTCCTCCCCCCTGCTTGTTCTCTCTCTCTTTCTCAGATGAATAAATAAAATCTTAAAAAAAAAAAAGTTGCTACAGCTAATGTCAAAGAGGTTGTTGCCTGTGTTCTCCTCTGAGATTTTGATGGTTTCCTGTTTCACATTTAGGTCTTTCATCCATTTTGAATTTATTTTCATGTGTGGTGTAAGAAAGTGGTCCAGTTTTATTCCTTGGCATGTTGTTTTATCTTAATACTGTTGCCAGGGGTGAGTTAATCTTTATCTCAAATCAAACATTGTAAGTACTAGAAGCACCGATCTTACTATGATAAATGTTTGTTTGTAATTGTTCTACCCTGAGATGTTCATAGTTTTCTAAGTTAATACTTTAATTCAAAAATTAAAATAAAGTTTATACCACTTTATTTCCCAAATGAGGGAGGAAGAGTTTTATTTCAGATGGTTCCTTTACACCACATATTAAAGAGGCTCATGATTTTTCATCTTAAAAACACAATGAATAACAATAATAAATAATCTTATCCTGCCCTCTGTTCTTCTCCAGGTATCACCCTGTCTTTCTCCTAGTTTTCATGACCAAACTTCCGCAACATGTTGCTCCCATTGGTTTCTTTCATTTCTTAATTTCTATTTACTCATAAATAACTCAGTCTGGTTCATGCTCTTAGCTGTCTTTGCTTTGCTGTGCAGAAACTTTTTTATCTCATGTAGTCCGACTTGTTTATTTTTGCTTTTCTTGCCTGTGCTTTCAGTGTCATATCCAAAAAATTATTGCTAAGACCAATGTCAAAGAGGGATATTATTCAGCCATAAAAAAGAAGGAAATCCTGACATTTATGACAAGATGGATGGACATGGAGGGCATTATGCTAAGTGAAATAAGCCAGAAATGGAAGGACAAATACTATATGATCTCAGTTATGTGGACTCTAAAAAAATTGAACTCATAGGAACAGAGAGTAGAATGAATGGGAGAAATGAAGAAATGTTGGTCAAAGGGTACAAGCTTTCAGTTATAAGATGAATAAGTTCTGGGGGTCTAATGTATAGCATGATGACTATAGTTAATAATACTGTATTGTATACTTGAACTTTGCTAACAGCATATCCTAAGCATTCTCATCACACACAAAATGTTAACAATGTGTGGTAATGTATGTTTTCATTATCCTAATTGTGGTAAGTATTTCATAATGTATATTCATATGTAATTGTCATATCGTATACTTAAATATATGCAATTTTGTTTGTCAATTATATCTCCATAAAACTGGAAAAACAAAATAAGAAGAAAATGTGTTAGGTTTGAAGAATGAGGATCCTTGAGAATGAAAGAGTTTTTACACTTCCTGAGTACATTGCAAAAAACACATTTTTCACAGTTTTGACAAATTGTTTTACTTAGTTGCATTAAACTTTTGGAATTCCTTGATCAGGCCTATTTATTTATGTTGTTAATTTCAACACCAATAATAAACAAAGCGAAAACCATCTGTGGTGTTTATAGAGCCTTCTTTGGAGCCCTGCACTGTGTCTATATCACAGAGATCTGGACAGTCACTGTCCATTTGAGGAGTTAAAGATTACTACAGTCAATATTCATAAATCCAATAATTATTTCAATTGCATGATGGAAATCCACTAGAAACTTCTTTTTTTACACATTGAGACATAAGTGATGTAATCTCTGGAAAATGTGTTCAAAAAATGAAAACCAGGGGCACATGGGTGTCTCAGTCGGATAAGTGTCTGCCTTTGACTCAGGTCTCGATCTCGGGGTCCCGGATGAAGCCCCGCATTGGGCTCCACGCTCAGCAGGGAGCCTGCTTCTCTCTCCCTCTGCCTCTCCCCCAGCTTGCTCTCTCTCTCTCTTTCTCTCAAATAAATAAATAAAATCTTTTGATGTACTGTATGGGGATTAACATAACAATAAAAAATTTTTTAAAAGAAAAAAAAATAAATAAAATCTTTAAAAAAATGAAAATCAAATTTACATCGAATGTGCATTGTTGTATTTCTGAAGAAATCCCTCTTGAGAGAAATCTAATTAACCTGCGCAGTAAATGCAATCCCTATAGTCTTTAGTCAGAATAAAAATACTGCCTATTCCATGACCAATTTGGAATTGTAGAAGGTCTAGAAGCCCAACAAGGAAAGGAAAATTCATCTTGTGAATAGGTATGTTCTCCTATTCATAATTTCCTGTAAAATTATCCTGAAGTTGTGGAGAGGAGATTCCATTAGTTTTGGTTTCCATGGATTTTAGCTGCCTAATCATTGGCTTATTCTTTTCAAATCTAAATGAGTAAAAATACGTATGAAATTAAATAGATAAATGGCTGGAAATATACTCCCTTCCAAATCCTTAACTGTGGCTTTAAGAAAAGCATGGAATTTAGAACCTGAATATAGCATGATTATATTTTACTCCTTGCACTTCAGTTTTATGTAACTTCTTTACAATTAGAATACCTTTTTATAATACTTACCTAAAACCCCGTGTATAAGGTTAGAATATCAGTAAGATAAAAACAAAACAAAACAAAAAAGATTCTGTAACTTAAAGCCTTTGTTTTCTTTAAATTTCTGTGAAAATACCATAAGATCTAGAACTCAAAATCAGGAAGAAATACTGCATCCCTTTTAACTGGGCGTTTATTTAGAAAGATTTAACAAAAGGAACCCAAATCACTAGGTTCTCATGTAAGACCACAGATCCTAGGAAAGCTCCTTCTCTAAGGTTTGATAGACAACCATGCTAAGTGACTGGATTCCTTCAGTATCATCTGTCCTCTCTGTTGTCGCCACAGATGTCTGGCTCTGCGCCAACAGTGAGTGGAAATCAGTCCGTCTGTACCACATTCACATTTGTAGCTTTTTCCTCTCTAGCAGAGTTACAGCCTGTGCTCTTTGTTGTGTTCTTAGTCATTTACTTGTTTACTGTGGGAGGAAACCTCATCATCATCTCCCTGATCTGGGTCATCCCTTCCCTGCACACTCCCATGTATTTCTTCCTGGTTAACCTCTCTTTTCTGGAGATCTGCTACATTACCAGTGTGGTGCCTCGGATGCTAGTGGACCTGCTGGTGGCGACCAACACCCTAAGTGTGGGTGGCTGTGCAGCTCAGATGTACATATTTGCCATCTTGGGACTGACAGAATGCTGCCTGCCAGCAGCCATGGCTTATGACCTCTTTGTAGCTATTTGTTACCCACTGCATTATACTCTCCTGATGGGTCCTTGCGTGTGTTTGAAATTGGCTGCAGCATCTTGGACAACTGGGGTGGTGGTGGAGTCAACCCAGATCACCTGCATCTTCAGTCTGCCCTTCTGTGGAACAGGAAAGATTCATCACTTTTTTTGTGACGTCATGGTTGTAGGGAAACTGGCTTGTGTTGATACCTCCCACATTGAGACTGTGATGCTCGCTGTCTCCGTGCTCTTCATTATGAATCCCTATTTGCTCATCCTGTGCTCCTACCTGCGAATTCTTGTAACCATCGTGAGAATCCCCTCAGCAACTGGCAGACGCAAAGCTTTCTCCACCTGTTCATCTCATATCCTGGTTGCTTCTCTGTTCTATGGCACTTGTTCACTTATCTTCAACCAAAGACTGCACACATTCCAGAAACAGACAAAGCAACTGCACTCATGTACACAGTGGTCACACCTGCTCTGAATCCTGTTATCTATACCTTGCAGAACAAGGAAGTAAAGGAAGCCTTTCAAAGGGTAACACAGAGGAATCCTCTTAGACAAATGGCCTAAACTGGCCATAGTAGATGAAATTTACACAAATAGAAAAGTTACCTGACGTTTTATGATCCTTCTACCAATATACATTGTCCTTAAAGTATTTGTTGCATCCAACTGGGAAATGTACAAAAAATTGTACATTTTTCTTTTTCTTTTTTTTTTTTAAAGATTTTATTTATTTATTTGACAGAAAGACACAGCGAGAGAGAGAATACAAGCAGGGGGAGTGTGAGAGGGAGAAGCAGGCCTCCCCACTGAGCAGGGAGCCTGATGCGGGGCTAGATCCCAGGACCCTGGGATCATGACCTGAGCCGAAGGCAGATGCTTAATGACTGAGCCACCCAGGTGCCCCAATATTGTACATTTTTCAAAGCGTTTAAGCAAAAGACAACTATGCTGTAGGATCTTTAAATTATTTATCTTTCATTCAATCAATAAATTACCAAGCATTTCTTGTGTCCTGGACACTATTCATTTTTTCCTTCTCCATTGGTACTAAGATTAAGGTTCGTATCCCTTACACCATTTTACTGAGGAACATGAAATATTCTTGTGGGAAAAAGTTAAACATGAATAGGAAGTAATCATAACTTTTGGTGTCAAATACATGCAATTAGAATTTAAGTTCTTAAGTGGCATATGCTTCCTTAACCACTTAGCTCTCTATACTTAATAATCATGCATCTTAAATAATCAACTGTTAATAAATACTGGTGAGTGATATACACTATAACACAACTTTAAGTATTTAAACTACCTAAGTGTTTAAAGTGTCTAACTTGTAAATCTGATGGGATCCTGATTCTTTATCCAAAACTAGATTCTTCCTTTGCTCTTATTCACTTAGTGTTTGGTTTTTCATATGAATGAAGTTTTAGAGAAATTTCTCCTTATGTGACATTCACTCTTGTTACTCCCATTGTAAACCTTTTTTAAATGTATGGGTTTGAATAGAATTTCCTTTAAAGACTGCCCATTTATTCTAGGTAATTAACTATGATATATTTTTTAAAAATTTTATTGTTATGTTAATCACCATACATTACATCATTAGTTTTAGATGTAAAACTATTATATTTTTGATCCCCAAATAATGAAGAACAAGACTTCCATAACAGATTAAACTAAATAACTTTTAAACAAATACTGGTTTTTTTTGGCAACTTTGGAGAAGTGAGGCGACCAAAAAATTTAAATGTTCAGTGATATTTTGTAGAAATTAGGGTTAACTTTTGATTTTTATCTTAACGTTGTTACCCCAGAGTCAAATCTTAATACCAGTGCAAGTAATTTGTTTGGAAGGGACTCAGAAGTGGGAAAATGACACAGGAAGGGAAGAAAGCCACTAAATTGTCTGTTAATATGTCAGGCACCATAAAAGGCCACTAAAATTTATTCTTATGGGGAGAATAATGTAAAACACAATCCTAAAATGTATTGCTACATAGGTCTATATACAGATACACTTATTATCATAAATCATTGATGGAGGGTTGATCCTAAGGAGTGATTACTCTGACACTATTACTTCACTCTTAACTGTAGCAGACTTCTGGAAATGCCCTGAGAAACAGTGATCTAGATTTGTGGCATCTGGAATGTGTCTGGCATTGGATCTTAAAATGGCAAAGTTGAAGGGATGTAAGAGGTGACACTGTCAGTGAAAGTTACAAGTTTATTCTACAGAAGTATTTGAGATACTTGTGATAGTTAAAAGAGGTAAAATATATGTATGAATTGGTATGAATATAAAATAAGAATACTTCAATAATTGTTTTTCTTTCATTTTCTGACTCTGTTTGGAGAATGGTAGCTTCTCGAAGACCAGTACCAGAGCTATATATCACACAGACAAGAGAAAAATATAACTCTTGTCACATCAATCCCTTCTTATCATAGGTTAACATCCACTTCAACAATTGATTTAGTTTTTTTAGAACTCTAAAATTGGTCTCTTCTTCAGAATAGCCTTCACAAATATAAATTTAACATTTTAAATTAATCAACAGATGAAAGACTATAGATACACATTCCAAGAACATACTTACATAGTTGTGTTTAAGTGTGACTATTTTCCAAAATTATCCAACAAAAATTCCCCATGATTCATTACTTAAACTGAATATAATTAGTCATTTTTACTATTTCTTTTTCTATTTGTATCCATTTAGTGCCATGAGTGAAAAACAAAACATACAATAAGCTATTATTTAAGTATTTGCTCATCAGAGCATCCACCATTATAAATATTTTATAATATTTTATACAGGGTAATGTGACACCCCTTCTTTTGCATTTAGGTTTAAATATCCTAATTATCTTAAAAATAAGAAGAAAATCCATCTTTTTAGTGGGCTGAACAATAGTTTCACGCCCCTTTTGTATCCTACCACTACTGTTGTTTTGGATATGCAGGCTCATGGACTAGAAGGACTTGAGGAACTCCTTCATGTATCTTCCAATGCAAAACATCCCCTTTGTAATAAACATAAATGAGACTGAGATTTTGTCTATGGAATTCTGTTCAAATACACTACACCTTTTAATATGTTTATCATAATGCAATAACAGAAGAACAAACTATTTTCTTTTTGGTAGCGTTTATGGTGTGTGGTGATAGTGAGCAAAATGTTATTAAAAATCACCTAGCTCATGTCCTGACACTGAGTAGCCATGCAATAATAGTTGCTATTAACTTTATTAATAATTGATAAGCTTTTATAAAAGTCACTGTATTGTAAATTGTTTTGAGACATTCTTTTGTACCCAGAAATTGATTTTTCTGCAAAAGATTTTATTGTATTTGTGAGTCTACTTCCAGGCATAGTTTCGTGTTCCACTTGCCCTGACTTCTCATACTCAAGTAAATCAATTAATTAAAATAGCATTGCGAAGTAAGTTAAGTCCTATGGACATAAATACATACGTTTCAGCTTTTGTGTACTGAGAAATGATGTTTTCATGCCTTAATAGTTATTATGATTATTTAATCATACTGTTCTCTAATAGTAAATCTCCAATATTCTTATCATTGATGTTTAAGAAAGGCCAAGAACAAAATACTTCAAGGGGACAGAAAGTGAAGCAGCTAAATTTGATTACCAAGAATTCACTTCACATTGCAGGATGTAATAAAACTGATACCCATATCATGAGTCACTGGTCCTCTCAGTTACCTTACATTCACTATTTTGGGAAAAGGATTATATAAAGTGCATGCACGCGCGCGTGCGTGTGTGTATATTTGCTGAGGTGATGATAAAAATATGACACTGTTATGTAAGTTGTTTCCTACTTATCTTATTTTTAAATTGTGGTTGTCTTCCCCAACCCCTGCCATTTTCCTGTCTTCCTTTGTATTGAATACACAATATATTGTTTTGCTCAGGTTTATCATTGTAATCAAATTATCACCCAGGTCCGAAGTTTTAGAATAATGATGATCAGAACCTGGATGTTTATCAATAGAATTACAACTGGAAAGGATTCAGCTGGATATTTTCAACTCAGAAACTAAACATCACTGCAAGTAGAAGCTGAACAAATATATTTATCTCCTGTGTCTGAACAACATGAACATGTGTTCTCTCCTGTTGAGAAGTATTTGTGGTTGTACACAGGATACTGTGGTAACCTCTGGTGAGAGAAAGTTCAGAAGAGGAGAATGACTGAAGGCTTTACAGGCACTCGGTAACAGAGCCTCGCCCCCTTCAAAGCTTTCTCTTCGTTGTGTCTAAGACACATAACATATACCTCACATACGCACTCCCCACCCCAACACCAGTCCAACAGCTGCCAGTCACCACAGGGTGTCTGATCTCTTATATTGTGTTGCTCTCATTTTCAAATCCTCACTGCCCTGCCAAACCACTTAGAGAGGCTTTACTGTTGCTATCTATTCCCAAACTATTAAGAAATCTATCCATGTTTGCACAAAAGTAATGTTTCTCAACCTCCAGTTCCCCGGAATTTCAGAATGACACTGAATTTTCAGGAAAAAAGATGAAAGAAATCTCTTTACCAAACTTGTGTAGCATTTTATTTCTTGAACTCAAAGCAGTTTATCCCCAAGTCGAAAGTTTATAGAATATTTTCCACACATGCCACAAAAGATAAATCAATACTGACTGTTGGTTTAGAAAAATGAGGAGATACTTCAAAAAGCAACCTCACAAATTACCCTATTGTAGAATGAATGGAAGTAAAAGGATGTGTGTAGATCCTGCATTTAAGTAAGAAAAAGTTATGGACACGAATTCGATGTTTTCCAGTACATGCCTACTTCTCTGAGACTGGCCCAGCTCTTAGCTCCCCCATGTTAAGACAACTTGATGTCACTTCCATAGCCAAAATGGATTTTTTTTTAAAGATTTTATTTATTTATTTGAGAGAGAGATAGAAAGACAGAGAGAACACGAGCAGGGGGAAGGGTAGAGGAAGAGGGAGAAGCAGACTCCCCACTGAGCGGGGAGCCCTATGTGGGGCTCAAACCCAGGACCTCGGGATTATGACCTGAGCCAAAGGCAGACACTTAACTGACTGAGGCACACAGGTGCCCCACCAAAACTGATTTTTAAGTACCAAAAATCTTTAGCCAGTACCTTTACAAATCTCCAAAATGATAAAACCTGATATTATAATTATTATCCTATGTTTTTAAGATATTAAAGCATACTTAAAATCATGTAATAAAGTTCATATTATATTCACTGGAACCTATTGTTTTAAATATGTGATTGACATGGAGTGGAGTTTTTTCCATTTGTTTAGCAATTTCAGATGGGGACAAAGCTGAAGGCAAGAGGAACTTCAAATTCTAAAGAAGACTATAAATGAGCCAATAATAATTGGTTTTATTAAAAAGGTAGAAAGTCACCCCAGCCACCTCCCTATATAGAAGGAAGGCAGAGGGGAATATGAGGCGATTGGAACTGTTGCACTTGTAAAACTGTCACATTCATGAGATTTTTCTTCTACTTCTCACACTACATGGGAAGCGAGGAGTTGCAAGT